AATTAAAGTAATCAAATGTCAGAACTGAATTGACATAATCAAAACCAAAAAAATGGCGTACAAACCCTGTAAGTTGAATATCCGTTCTCCTAGTAGCATCGGCACTTGATAATAAAACTACTTTTGAAAATTGGGATTGCTTTATAAAAGCCAATAAATTTTCAGCGAAAATATTCCATCTTTTCTGAAAGATTGAAGTTCCAATTTAATGATATTAAACTAATCAATAAAAAAAAGGTGAACTTATGTACCTTGATTACTGGAGCTCTTTGTTGGATAACCGTCCATTTATTATCATCAGATTGATGGACTATTTTAGAGTTATGTAATTTAATAATGTGTAATTAAATAATTCAATTCGAAAATTAAAAATTCGATCCTTGCTTTCAATAGCGACGGTAATGCCCCTTGTTAGATGCTCATTAAAACCAACCACCGGAATAACATTTTCATCTTCCAGAAAACCAATTCGTTGCAAATTTAAAGTGGTAATTAAAAGATCAACTGTAAGTTGAGGAACGTTCCCAATGGAAATAGCAGGCTTATTTTTATAAGTAAAAATATTAAGAGCACTGTCACATAACATAAAATATTACATTAAAATAAAGAAGCCTAACCAGAATGAGAGTACTCCCGCTAAGATTATACGAATTTTCACGTTCTTTCACTGGAATAAATTTCATTTTCAACACACGTTAAAAGAACTTTGGATGTACAAGATGTCAATAATATCGATATGACAATGCATGATCTGCGAGTGATCCGCATTGCAGTTTTCGTGTAACTTGAAGTTTTTACGTTATAAATTGCCGTTTTATAAAAACATTAGATCTTTAACGAACCAAGTCAAAGAAAAAAAAAAAATGTCAACAACGCAAGGATCTTCGAGCAAGGTACTTATTTAAAGGTTAAATTTACCTCTCTACGTTATTTACTAGTCCCATTTATGCCTGTTTAGATTCTTTGAATTTTAAATAATTCTATCTCGTGAATTTATACAAGCTTGATGATAAACGTTTATATATCGGCAATCTAGATCCTGCTATCGATGAGTGAGTAATATTATTTGTTATTTTTGTATTCGTTTATTCAATATATAAACCGACATTTCTTGTCAGATATACCGTAGTAAAGCTATTTGAACCTTATGGAAAAATAACGCATCTCGATTATCTTTTTCACAAGAGTGGACCTAAACGTGGTCAACCAAGAGGCTATTGCTTTATAGAATATAGTAAAAAGGAGGTGAGACTTCTATTTTTTTTTATAATTCTCTGTTTTGTGTGAATTATTCCTTTAGAGGAATCGCCCTGTTGAAGTTTTTATAACTATTAAATAACGATATTCCTAGGAAGCACTGAAAGCTATGACGGCTATGCATTCTAAAGTGATTAAGAATCGTTCCATGATTGTTACATTTGCGTATGCGGTAAATAAAAGCAATTTTCCATGAATTTAATACGCAGCTTGATTAAGATAGTAATTAGTTATAATTATTTAGGCGTCAGAAAACTGTGATAGTAAAAGCATAGGTGGTTTAAAGAAAAGGTCATCTACAACTACGAGTAATAGACCGACAACTATTTCATTGCTAAAGTCACATCAAATGGTTAATGTTAGGTAAAAAGATATTATATATATTATTCTTTCTGCCACTGATTTGGCATTCAGAAATCTCATGGAAATTTCTTTTTAAAGCACGGACGCAAAAATACAAGCGTTAGAACGGAAATTAGCACAAATGAAGCAAGGTCAATCATCTAATTCGTCTTCTGTAAAAACGTCACCGCTATCTTCGTTACCCAACCAATCTAAACAGCCTACAACAATAAGAAATTCCTCACCTTCCACGAATACAGTTAAACACAGTGAACAAAGATTTAAACCATATTAAAATTTCTAAATAATTATGATTCAGAGTTAAATATTTCTTTACTGTTACTGCTTATTGTATTGGATGCAATCACTTAACAGTATAATAAAAAAACTATCTTGGAAAGCCTGCTGATTCAAATGTCAGCCTTTGTATATGAGCAACCATAATGATGCTTTATATATTGTCGCATTCTAAAATCATGCTAAATATGCAATAGGTTACAAGATCTATTATAATTATACTATAGAAGCTAAATTTAGTCGGTATTATAAAATTATGATACCATTTAATGGTATTATATGTAGTGAAGAATTTTGAATTACAGCATTATAAATTTCAACTTAATATAACGAAATTCATGTAATACTTTCTCAATATAAGCTATTGAAAATTTTTTTTTCTCAATCAAATAACTTCGCTATAACGAGAGTGTGCTGTATCAAGAAAATAGATTATCTAATTCTATAATAGTATACGAAAGTATATATATATATATATATATATTTGTATTAGAGTTTTATTCTCCTAATAAGTACATCTGATAGAGAAAAGCAAATAAAACAGCCATTATTATTACAAATAACCAAGTTTTATTTGCTACATCTAAAATAAAATAAAATAAGTATTGTTTAATTGAAAACCAAATTGGAAATGTATAGACAAATCTTTCACCTGACTCGAACTTTTCTGGAAGTTGCATAATATGAACCGAATGATCAGCAGAACCACTTATGATTAACGTGGAATTACTATTAAAGCCTAATGTGGTTACTGGAAGCTCATGTACATGGGGCACAGTAAGTCGTATCTGGAAAAAATTTTTTTAAACTGTGTTTAGTGAAATTTCAAACCATGATTAAGTTATTCAAATTACCAACTAACCCTAAACGTCCGTGCATCACAAATTGATACGCTTTGATCGGAGCTTCCAAACGCCAATAGGTTTCCATCATCACTGTCGCAAATGAAATATGATTATCTTTGAAGTTCACCGACAATTTCAATAAACCCGATATGAATCATGTGAATTCACCTTACTGCAAAGGTAGTGATTGGTTTTCTGGAAACAGCTTTTGTTAAAACTTTATTCCAAGTTTTAACATCCCACTTAACGATGAATGCCTTGAATTTAGAAGTCGAATTGACTACGGCAAAAAGATATCCTTCAGATGATCCCTTACCAAATCTATACATTTAAAAAAGACGATAATCATAAATAGCAATAATAATAAAGATTATAAAATTTTAACATTTAAATGTCAAACCTGCATGCTCTAAATTTGCACTGTGTGGATTTCTGAAATGTGGGTCGCTCTATAGAATGAATACATTCGCCGTTTCTTGTAGATAAAATTCTAAGAATTTTATCAGACACAACTGCAACCTAATACAGTGAAATGTTACATTTAGGAATTTAGACGGTTTACAAATAAAGTGTCAAACATAATATCAAACCTGGTCTCCAGTCGAATTAAAGTTAACATCATATATTTCTTGCTTATCGAAATTCACTGGCGGAAAGGCTACTTCTAGTGACGGATATTTAAGAACCGTCAACTGTTCAAAAATGATACAATCCATATATTAAATAATTATATTATTATAATGATTATATCGACTCTCCTCTTACCTTACTATCTGTACCACCAGTTGCCAATAATTTACCATTATGACTGAATGCAGTAGTTTTCTAAGGTTCATATAAATAATTATTTAGGTGCATACGAATAAATAAAGATGACAAGTTAACGGCTTTACCTGATAATAATCTTCATCAATATTTGCTCTGACTGTTTGTGTTGCATTGATTAATTCAACTCTACCAAATTTTTTAGAATATTATTTGCATGTTTTAGAAAGAATTTCTTTAAATAAATAGAATTTGAATGACCAACTTTTTGTCTGAATATCTAAAAATCCGACAATTTTGATTTTCACCAGCCTTTATTTTTTTTTCTGAGCTATTGATGCCACAAGAAATGATATTTTCCTATCATGAAAATATTGTTAAAATTGAGATCAGGTTCACGAGAAAAACTAGCATGCTGAAAGTTCAAAATGTTAATGCGACCAAGATGTCTCGCGTGGCAGTCTTAAACAAAATATACCTCACTGTGAAAAGCAATACATTGTGGTGAATCATCGCCTTCTTCAAGTTCTATTTCACATAACTTTTCTAGAATTTTCTCATCTTTTTCGGATAAAGTTGGATTTCCTGTTTATTGTGCTGGTAATTTAAATATGTTACTTAAGTGAACTTATACTGTCGAAGCACGGCGCTAATTTCATTAAATATAGGCTTCAGCCCTACAGGCGAAGTGATTGTTGGCGGGGGTGGGGGCGTTGAAAGAACTGGTATAAAAAACAAACTGGTAATTATAAAATGTATATTTTACACTAGTTTTTTTT